ATCTATATCTATATCTATATCTATATCTATATCTATATCTATCTATCTATCTATCTATCTATCTATCTATATATATATATATATATATATATATACATACATACATACAAATAAATAAAAAAAAGAAGTACCCTCCCCGAGACCTTACCATACCAAACCGTACCGAACTCTAAACTTACACGTATGTGAATCATACCATCGCGAAAGGCATCGCACAACCGAGTTGTGGATCACTGTGGTATATCGTTGTTCATTGCCTTAAGCTTATCGAACGCGTCACAGTGTGCGTTATATCGCCTAAAAACACAAGCCATATAATATAAACGTTTTCAGTGCTGCCCAGTATCATTAGTAGGCTTTGGTCCCGCTTAAGCTGCATGCACAGGTGTTGGTTTGGTTTATTCATCACCATACATATCAGCATTTTGGACATACCCTTCATGCCACCGGTAGGAATCTGATTCCTGATACTGCCGACTGTTTGGCATAGGCCGGCTGCTGATGCTAACTGGTGGGTCTAGGAGGACCGCTTTTTCTAAAATGAAATAAAATGAAATAAAATAAAGGAGAGGAAAGGAAAGGAAAAGAAAAGATAGGAAAGAAAAGGAAAGGAAAGGAAAGGAAAGAGAAGAAAAGGAAAGGAAAGGAAAGCAATAGATAGGAAAGAAAAGGGAGGAAAAGGAAAGGAAAGGAAAGAAAAGGAAAGGAAAGGAAACAAAAGGAAAGGAAATAAAGGAAAAGAAAAGGAAAGGAAAGGGAGAAAAAAAGAAAAGGAAAGCAGAAAACGGAAACAAAAGAAAAGGAAAACAAAGAAAAGGTAAGAAAGGAAAGGAGAGGAAGAAAAGGATGTAAAGAAATGAAAAAACAGGAAAGGTAAGAAAAGGAGAGAAAAGGAAAGAAAAGGAAAGAAAAGTAGAGGAAAGGAAAGGAAAAAAGGAAAACAAAGGAAAGAAATGGAAAGAAAAGGAAAAGAATGGAAAAGAAAAAAAGGGAAAGATAGGAAGACAAAAAGAAAGGAAAGGAAAGGAAAGGATAAGAAAAAAGGAAAGAACAGGAAAAGAAAGTAAAGGCAGGGATAGCCCGAATTTCAGCCGTCTCCTCCGCTCGCTAAGTCACTCGGCGAGAGAGACGTCTTAAAGCACTGGTCGATAATGCTGTCCGGTGACATCACTACCCAAAAACCTGGTAGTGCTTCTGATTGGTTGCCGTGTTAATTTATTCGCCCGACTCGAAAAATTCAGAATAACTTTATCGCCAAATTCGCGCGTTCAAGATGGCAGAAGAAAATCGCGAGCTAACGCAACAAGACTTTTGACATTTGGGGTCCCAAACTTAATCCGCAATAAGAAAAGGCACTTTCAGAATTTCTTAGCGGAAGCGATGTATTCGTAAACTTGCCTACGGGATATGGAAGGTCCTTAACATATCAGATGGCTCCACTGGTGGCAATCGAACTTTCAAAGCAGCACAGCCGTTTTCCAAACAAAAGCATAGTTGTTATTATTTCACAATTGCTTTACAGTGGTTATCAGTTATCAATCACACGCGACCTTCAGCGCAAAAACGACTTAACAAAACCTAAAAAGTGG